AGCAGCACCCCCCCCTCGTTTCCACTCAGCCTTAGGCATCTAGTAATCTGCTTTCTGGCTCTATAGGTTTACTTAATTGGGACATTTCACATACATGAATTGTGTGATGTGTGACCTTTTGCGTCTGGCTTCTTTCAATGAAGATACTGTTGTGAAAGTTCATCCTTGCCGTAGTAGAGTATCAGTACTTCCTTTTTATTTGTTGTTGAATATTTCATTGAATGGATATACCACATTTTGTTTTTTCATTCATAACTTTAAGGAAATTTGGGTTGCTTCCACTTTTTGACTGTTGTAAATAACACTGCTATAGGGGTGCCCGGCTGGCTCAGTCAGTAGAGCATAGGACTCTTGATCTTACGGGTTGTGAGTTCAAGCCCCACGTTGGGCATGGAGCCTACTTAAAAAAATACTGTTGTTGGGGCGCCTGGGTGGCGCAGTCGGTTAAGCGTCCGACTTCAGCTCAGGTCACGATCTCGCGGTCCGTGAGTTCGAGCCCCGCGTCAGGCTCTGGGCTGATGGCTCAGAGCCTGGAGCCTGTTTCCGATTCTGCGTCTCCCTCTCTCTCTGCCCCTCCCCCGTTCATGCTCTGTCTCTCTCTGTCCCAAAAATAAATAAAAAACGTTGAAAAAAAATTAAAAAAAAAAATACTGTTGTAAACATTTGTGTACAAGTTTTTTTGTTCTTTTTTAAAATGTTTATTTATTTTTGAGAGAGAGCACAAGTTGGGGAGGGGCACAGAGAGAAGGGGACAGAGGATCCAAAGTGGGCTCTGTGCTGTCAGCAGAGAGCCCGATGTGGCTTGAACCTGTGAACTGCAGGACCATGACCTGAGCCGAGGTTGGACGCTTAACCAACCGAGCCACCCAGGGGCTCCTTGTGTACAAGTTTCTGAACGAAGATTGGTTTTCATTTCTCTTGGGTCGTATGGCAACTCTGTGTTTAACCTTTTGAGGAACTTCCAGACTCTTTCCAAAGTAGCCAAACCATTTTACATTCCCACCAGCGGTACGTGAGGGTTCCAGTTTCCCCACATCCTTACCAGTAGTTCTTTGTTTTTTATTTTTTAAAATTTACATCCAAATTAGTTAGCATATAGTGCAACAATGATTTCGAGAGTAGATTCCTTAGTGCCCTTTACCCATTTAGCCCATCCCCCCTCCCAAAACCCTCCCATAACCCTGTTTGTTCTCCATATTTATGAGTCTCTTCTGTTTTGTTCCCCTCCATGTTTTTATATTATTTTTGTTTCCCTTATGTTCATCTGTTCTGTGTCTTAAAGTCCTCATATGAGTGAAGTCATATGATTTTTGTCTTTCTCTAATTTCACTTAGCATAATACCCTCCAGTTCCATCCACATAGTTGCAAATGGCAAGATTGCATTCTTTTTGATTGCCGAGTAATACTCCATTGTATATATAGACCACATCTTCTTTATCCATTCATCCACCGATGGACATGTGGGCTCTTTCCATACTTTGCCTATTGTCGATAGTGCTGCTAGAAACACGGGGTGCATGTGTCCCTTCAAAACAGCACACCTGTATCCCGTGGATAAATGCCTAGTAGTGCAATTGCTGGGTCGTAGGGTAGTTCTGCTTTTACTTTTTTGAGGAAACCATACTGTTTTCCAGGGCGGCTGCACCAGTTTGCATTCCCACCTTGCCAGTAGTTCTTATTCTCTTTTTGCCTGTAGCCATCTTAGTGGACATAAGGTCATCAGATCTTGACCTAAGAACCACAAGTAGTGTTCACATTGACTGAAAACACCATGAAAGGTACGGTAGACCCACTGTCCTGTCAAGTCAAACTACAGAGATTTGAGAATATATCACATTTTCACATCCAGCCGGGAAGCTACCTGGTTTCATGATGCTCTTGGTTTTTCTCCTCTCGATTTGCAGGTGGTGGTTACCAATACGATTCCACATGAAATCCAGAAGCTCCAGTGCCCCAAAATTAAAACGGTGGATATCAGCATGATCCTTTCGGAAGCCATCCGTCGGATTCACAATGGGGAGTCCATGTCCTACCTTTTCAGAAACATAGGTTTAGATGACTGAACAGCTTTCCTTTCTTGAAACTCCCAAGGGCCAAACTGGAGGCGGAGCGTACTGTGAGGGCTCACACCTGGTTTGATGCACTTCACGGGGGCCGACTATGCTTTCTTCCTTTCTCTTTGTTAATTCCTCTGAAGACAGACCAACTTTTTAGGTCGGGTTAGGTGTTCGTGAGTTTTTGGGGCGATTTTTATAAGAGAAAAACTATATTCTCCTCCTAAATAAATTAACGATCTGGTTGTTTGTAGTTGAACTATTTCAAAAATAGCTTGGAATACGATTTTTTTAAGCTCACAGACAGCCTTTTTCCAAAGTTGCTAGAGCCCAAGTGCTTAAACGAGTTAATGAAATAAAATGATCTACTGTGTGTTACTTGCAGTTGAAAAGCCAAAAAGATAATACCATTAAATCCAGTAAGTGACATTTTTAGAAATGCTTTTATAGACAAGCATATGTGAGTGATTATTACGTGACCGTTATTTATTTTCTGCAAAAAAAGAGGGAATAAAAACTTACGTTGTGTGTGTGTGTGTTTTTTTTTTAAACTTTGTGTATTGGCCATTGTTTTATAATTAAAATAAAAAGAAAGCTGAATATACGTGCCGTGGATGTTGAAATGTTCGTCCGCCCACTCCGTTTTGTCTTCTGCATCTTGTCGGGGTGAGACAGTGGCCTCTCGGGGATGTAATATTTCCTGTTCTGTTTGTCCAGGACCCGCACATTTCTGACGTGTAATGGCTGTGGCAGGAGAGGAACTCGAGTCCCAGGCTGTGAGCCACGGGGGGCAGGTCAGCGAGTTGGTGTGAGTTGCCACCTGCATCTCGGCATGGCTTTGTTCTGCTCCCTGTTCGACAGCACAGCCATTCTCTGAACAAAACTCACCTGTGCATGCTCTGGATGAGGACATGCTGGAGGGTGGTCACAGAGGGCAAATGACACGACCCTTGTTAACATGAGGCCTCTGAGGACCGTCTGCCCTCCAGTTCGGAGTGCAGAACTCAGAACTTCTACATTGGAGTTTTGTCAGACTCCGGAACACTGGGGCCCCACGAGTTAGGCCAGCACGTTCTCCGGCTAAGCTCATGTAATGGCAGTGCCGTCAAATTCATGGAGGAAGAGATTAAGATTTTCTCACAAAGAAAAGGATTACTTTTGCTTTTCTTTTTTTCCAAGTCAGCTCCACCCTGCTTTGTGGGGCTTGAACTCACGACCCCAAGATCAAGCATGCTCTACTGACTGAGTCAGCCAGGCAGCCCAGAATCCTTTTTCCTTCCAAAGAAAACCTAAACCTGTGCTTTCTGCCTATGTTAGAACCCGGAATAAAATAGCATTTGCCTTGGCACAAAATTAAAGATGAGTCACTTACCGTTTCTTGCAGCTCCCAAGAGAGAAGCCTGACTCTTGGGGGCTTGCTCTGGAGCAGGTCTGGGGGCCTGCGTGTGCAAAATCATCAAGGCCTCTGCTTCTGTCAGCTGCCCTGGGTATTGGATGGTCTCCTGCTCATCTCTCTGTGCTCATCACAGCCGGCAGTGTCCAGACCCCTCCCGACGCCATGTCTCAGCCAAACACCCCGTGATGGTTGTGCTCCTACAGGTGCATGAAAGGAAGACCTATTTTGCTAATCGCATAACGTAATACACACTGATGCTCGGGTCTAATCAAAGCGGAAGTCTGCATCGTTAACATGGCACATTAACTCTTGGCTTAGAACAGTGCGGCCTTACGCTCTCTCCTTTACAGTTTGCGAGCATGATTGTCTTTGCTTTACGAAACCCTTGAAAGTAACCCAAGTTTTCCTTTTAGCTCAAAAAGAATAAGCTGGCAGATGTCTACAGGATGGTGGAATGGGGAACTCCGAAAGTCCCTTCCTCTATAAAAAAGAAGAAATTGGCAGAAACTGTCAGAATCAACATTATTGGGACTCTCGAAAATAACCAAAAGTTTATGGCAACCCAGAAAATTGTTAGTCAAACCAAACCACTCCACCACCACCAACAGACGGCTGAATCTTGACAAAATTGCTTTGTGGCACTTTAACTTACCCCCGGTCCCATTTGTTACCTGCTTCCTGGCAGCCTTGAAGACAGTGGCCTGCATTCCTGGTACGTGTTCCTGGTACCAGTGGGAGTAGAATACTGTTCTCACAGAACCGTGGTTATTTGTTTGGGCCTGTTTCCTGGCTCCTCGAAGGATGGCTCAAAGGACTTGCCTTGGTTTTACCCAACTCAGAACTCTTCAGAGCAGAGGGACAGTTGTTGAAAAAGTATAAAGGCAAATGTATCAGCCACTCCTGTTGGGGCAAACAATGAGACCATTAAAGGCTTGGGAGGAAAGGCTAGAGAATGAGATACATCAGGGGTTGGGGGGAAAAGGACTTTACAAAGGTCCCGTATGTTCCTGGGGCTGTGAAGGGCACGGGATTGTACAGGGCTGAGCACGTGCCTGGAAAAGACCCAAGAAAGCCTTAAACTCTCACTTCGGGCTGACCTTCGGGCTCTGTGCAAGCATGAAGTGTGGGCTAAAGCAGAATTATAGTCTGTCTGTCTGAGCGTCGACGGTGCGGCCCAAGACAGCAGCCCTCCTGCAGAGTGGGTGATTTTCCTTCCTCCTCCCCTCCCTCCCCTCCCACCTTCCCCTTTCCCCTTCCCCTTCCCCTTCTCTTGTTTTCAGGCATTTAAGGAAGGCTATGATGACTCACCATTCAGCTGACTGAACAGAGATTTCAGTTACCATACATGACGATACAGACTTCACAAACAGTTGAGAAACGCCACCAAACAGGCAACTACAAGCAGCAATAAACCCTGGGGGAGGAGGAGACTCTGATTCCAGACTTCCCGTTATAAAAAATGCCCAGTTATCAACCAAAAAAGTTCTGAGGCATGGAAACACACAAGGTTGGGCCCATACACAGGAAAAAAACTTAGAAGAACCCATGCTTGAAGAAGTATACACATATTTACTAAAGACTTTATTTTTTTATGTATTTATTTTGAGAGCGAGAAAGTACGAGTGGGGAAGGGACAGAGAGGAGAAAACGAGACTCCCAAGCGGGGATTCTGTCAGTGCAGAGCCCAACACGGGGCTCGAACTCATGAATTGTGAGATCATGACCTGAGCTGAAATCAGGTGCTTAGCTGACTGAGCCACCCAGCTGCCCCTTTACTAAAGACTTTAAATCAATGATTTTAAATACACTCAAAGAGCTAAAGGAAATCATGAGAATGATGTCTCACCAAATAGAGCATATCAGTAAGAAATAAAAAAGAAACAGGATTTGGGGAAGACGGTAGAGTGAGAAGCACCAGGAATCTGTCTCTCCACACAGACATTTTCTGTGGCAAAACCTGTCTGATGGTTTTGGAACTCTGGAGTCTATTGATTTGCAACTTCCAAGGGGGAGTCTTGGACAGGAAATTGTCATTACTTTTGGTCCAATGCAGCTCTTAGTACTGGTTGCAGTTACCTTGTGGGGGGGGGCGGGCGCCGGCGGGCAGCTGCATCTGTATTCCTGGAGCCACCTGCACAAGTTTGTGAGTGTTAGGGTAGGGAAAAAGGACTCTGTCCTTCCAATAGTGGGGGTCTGTGCTCTGATAGCTGACTGCTGCCTCTGGTCGCAGAGGTGCAAGAGGCGAGCAGCCATTGTGATTGCACTTCCTTCATTGGTTGCAAGCCCTCCCCCTCCAGCTGATGAGAATTCCGGGACATTTAAAAGCCAGTACACTTATTCCCCACCCCCATTCCCAATTTTCTCCTTTTCCCCTTTTTGGGAGCCAAATAGTAAACACTCGAGGGTTCAAAAACAATTGCATGTACAGGGAAGATTAGAAAGTCACTGCACGTGCCCAGAGGAAGTGCAGGCTCAGGATAGAACCGAAGAGACCCTAAGCTTATCCCTCAGGTTGATCCTTGGCACAGAGACAGGCTATGACAACAACAAAAAATGTGGTGGTGGTGGTGGTGATGGTAATTTAGTAATATTGGGAAATGGAAAGAAGCTAATTTCCAGGGCTATCACGTTATTATATTCAAAAGTCCAGCTTTTAATTAAAAAAAATCAAAGAATATGCTTCATTCAAAGGGGAAAAATCAACAGAAATGGTTTCTGAAAAAGACTTGATGGTAGGTCTACTAGACAGACTTTAAAACAACTGTCTTAAAGATGCTCAAAGAACTAAAAAAAACAGGTGTGGAGAACATGAAAATAATGTATGAACAAAATGGAGATACCAATCAACAGAAACCCTAAAAAGAAACCAAAAGAAATTCTGAAAAGTACAATAGCTAAAATGAAAAATTCACTAGAGGGATTCAAAGGCAGATTTGAGCAGGCGGAAGAAAGAATCCATGAACTTGAAGATAAGACAATGGAACTAAGTCTGAGGAACAGAAAGAAGAGAGATTGAAGACAAGGAAACACCTGTGTTACTCCATTAAGTGGCTCAACATACACATTGTGGGAGACCTCTTCCAGAAGAAGAGGGAAAGGGGTAGAGAGAATATTTGAATAAATAATGGCTGAAAACTTCAACATTTTATGAAAGACATGAATATAAACATCCAAGCTCCATGATCTCCAAGTAAGATGTCAGGGAGACTCACACCAAGACACCTTATGGCCAAACTTTAAAAAGTCAAAGAATCTTGAAGGCAGCAAGAGAGAAGTGATGAGTCACATACAAGGGATTCTCAGTAAGGTTATCCGCAGATTTCTCCTTGGAACTTTGGAGTTCCATCTGCTCTGCAAGAAATGCTCAGAGGAGTCCTTAAGGTGAAATGAAGTCAGTTGAGCATCTGACTTCGGCTCAGGTCATGATCCCCCAAACCGTGGATTCTAGCCCTGCGTTGGACTCTGTGTTGACAGCTCGGAGCCTGGAGCCTGCTTCAGATTCTGTGTCTCCTTCTCTCTCTGCCCCTCCCCTGCTCACACTGTCTCTCTGTCTCTCTCTCTCAAAAATAAATAAAGATTAAAAAAAAATTAAAAAAAAAAGATCTCAGTAAAGGCAAATACACAAATAATTATAAAAGTTGCTATTATGGTAACCATGGCTTCTAACTCTGCCTTTTGTTTCCTGTATGATTTAAGAGACAAATATATTTTAGAAATTAAAAGATTATGTTTTAAAGCTTTGTTTGTTTAGAGTGTGAGCAGGGAGGGGCAGAGAGAGGGAGAGAGAATCCCAGGCAGGCTCCAGGCTATCAGTACAGAGCCTGATGCAGGGCTCGCGAACCCATGAGATCATGACCTGAGCCAAAATCAAGAGGCAGACACTCAACTGATTGAGCCACCCAGGCATCCCTAAAAGGTTATGTTTTGTGGAACAAAACGTATAAAGATTTAATTTTATGTTGACCACTGAAAAGAGGTATAAACAAAACTGTCAAAGAAACAGAACTTTTGTATGCTTTTAAAGTTAAGCTGGTATAAATTCAAATTAGTGTGTCATAACCTTAGGATATTATGGGAATGCAAGCTGGTGCAGCCACTCTGGAAAACAGTATGGAGGTTCCTCAAAAAACTAAAAATAGAACTACCCTACGACCCAGCAATTGCACTACTAGGTATTTATCCAAGGGATACAGGTATGCTGTTTCAGAGGGACATATGCACCCCCATGTTTATAGCAGCACTATCAACAATAGGCAAAGTATGGAAAGAGCCCACATGTCCATCGATGGATGAATGGATAAAGAAGATGTGGTATATATGTGTGTGTGTGTGTGTGTGTGTGTGTGTGTGTGTATACATACACACACACACACACACACACACGATGGAGTATTAGTTGGCAATCAAAAAGAATGCAGTCTTGCCATTTGCAACTATGTGGATGGAACTGGAGGGTATTATGCTAAGTGAAATTAGTCAGAGAAAGACAAAAATCATATGACTTCACTCATATGAGGACTTTAAGACACAGAACAGATGAACATAAGGGAAGGGAAACAAAAATAATATAAAAACATGGAGGGGGACAAGACAGAAGAGACTCATAAATACGGTGAACAAACTGAGGGTTATGGGAGGGGTTTGGGGAGGGGGGATGGGCTAAATGGGTAAAGGGCACTAAGGAATCTACTCTCGAAATCATTGTTGCACTATATGCTAACTAACTTGGATGTAAATTTTAAAAATATAAACTAAAAAAAACACCTTAGGATATTAAATATAATCCCATGGTAACTATGAAGAAAATAGCCATAGAATGTATATCAAAGGAAATTGGAAATGAATTTAAATGTTTTACTACAAAAAATGAAGTAAGCACAAAAGACAGTAATGTAGGACATGAACAGAAAAGCTATAAGGCATATGGAAGATCAATAGCAAAATAACAAGTCCTTCCTTATCATTAATTACCTTAAATGTAAATGGGTTAAACTATCCAAGTAAAAGAGATAGGCAGAATAGATAAAAATAATACAATACAATACGATACAATACAATACAGATACAATCCACGTATATGCTGTCTACAGAAGACTCACTTTAGATCCAAAGACAAAAATAGATTGAAAGTGAGAGGACAGAAAAAGATATTCCATGCAAATAGTAACCAAAAGAGAAACAGTATAGCTAAAGTAATATCAGACAGAGTAGACTAAGACAAAAATTCCTGCAAAAGACAATGAAGGACATTATATATTAGTAAAAGGTTCAACACAGCAAGAAGACATAATAATGATAAGTATTTAGATGCCTAGTAACAGACTATCAGAATAAATGAAGCAAAAGTGGACAAAATTAAAGGGAGCACTAGAAAATCAGAATAGACATATAACTAATAGAAGATTGAGTCAGTTATTTAAAAATTCCCAACAGAGAAAAACCCAGGATCCCATGGTTTCACTGGTGAATTCTACCCAACATTTAAAGAAGTAACACCAGTCCGGCATGCCTGGCTGTCTCAGTCAGTGGAGTGTGTGACTCTTGATCTTGGGGTTGTAAGTTCAAGACTCACGTTGGGTATGGAGATTACTTAAAAAATAAAATAAGTAACACCAGTCCTTTTCAAACTTTCCCCCAAAAAAGTAAGAGGAAAGAATGATTTCTAGCTCATTCTATGAGGCGGATTTACCCTGATAACAAAGCTAAAGACACTATAAGAAACTACAGATCAGTATCCCTTATGACCATTGATACAAAAACATCAACAAAATACTACAAAACTGGGTTTCAGCAGCATAACAAAAGGACTATACACTCTTGGGGCACCTGGATGGCTCAGTCGGTTGGGCATCCAACTTCAGCTCAGGTCATGATCTCACAGTTCGTGAGTTTGAGCCCCATGTCAGGCTCTCTGCTGATAGCTCAGAGCCTGGAGCCTGCTTCAGATTCTCTCCCTCTCTCTCTGCCCCTCCCCTGCTTATGCTCTGCTCTGTCTCTCTGTCTCTCTCTCAAAAATAAATAAACATTAAAAATTTTTTTCTTAAAGGATTATACACTATAACCAAGTGAGATTTATACCTGAAATGCAAGATGGTTCGACATATGAAAACTGGTATAGAATGAAGAAAAATAACCACATGATCATCCTGTTACAGAAAATGTGTTTGGAAAAAGCGGTAACTTTTTATGATAAAAACACTCAGAATGGAGCCCCTGGGTGGCTCAGTCAGTTCAGCATCTGACTTCGGCTCAGGTCATGATCTTGAAGCTTGAGAGTTCGAGCCCTAGCTCAAGCTCTGTGCTGACAGCTGGGAGACTGGAGCCTGCTTCAGATTCTGTGTCTCCCTCTCTCTCTGCCCCTCCCCGGCTCGCGCTCTATCTCTGTCTCAAAAATTAAACTTAAAAAAAAAAAAAACACTCAGAAAATTAGGAATACTAGAAACTACCGCAACATAATAAAAGCCATGGATGAAAACTCCACAGTGATCATCATACTCAATGGTGAAAGACAGAGAGCTTTTCTTCTAAGATTAACGGCAAGGCAAGGATGCCTGCTTTCACTGCTTCTATTCGGTGAAGTGCTGGAAGTTCTAACCAGAGCAAATAAATAAAATAGAAAAATGAAATGAAATGAAATGAAATGAAATGAAATGAAATGAAATATAAAATAAATAAAATAATAAAAAAATAAAAATAAAATGTAAAGTAAAATAAAATGAATAATAAAATAGAATAATAAAATAAAATAAAATAATAAAAAATAAAATAAAATAATAAAATAAATAAAATAAAAAAATAAAACAAAAAAATAAAATAAAATAAAATAAAATATAAAATAAAAGACCTCCAAACTGGAAAGGAAGAAATAAAATT